ACTGGAGAGGCTTCAAGGTTCTGTTTGTTATAATGATTTTATAGGTGTCACTTTAACCTACATTTGTTTCTAAATAAATTTTGTCTGTAATTCACATCTCAGCCTTTATAAAAATGATAATCTTTAAGAAAGACCCTAAAACTTAGAAACAGGATAAAGCAATTTCAACAAAGAACATCTCATTTAAATTATTCTGAATATTCAAAAAAATTAGGGGACATTACACCTAGCAGAAATTACTTTGAAAACTAGAGATCTTATTTACATAACTAAAAAAATACAAAGAAGAAATTAGCAACATGTATCTATATAAAAAAGGAAAAGAAAAAGAAAATAAAAGTCAAAAGAATGGAAGTTAGTGTAGCTGGGCCAGACTTACATGCTGCCTCTCTTGGAAGTGAAGCCAGACGGAGGAGGGAGCTCTTTTTGCCTAGCAGAAGTACTGGTCTCAGTATTCATTCCAATCTGTTGCCCTTCTGCAACAGGTGTATGAGGGCCAGGCAAGAAGGCATCTCCTGCACTAGTGTCTGAAGGTAAAAATATTTAGCGTGTCTTTTCCTAGCAAATGTGTCAAACATAGCATGTAAGACAGTGACAAGCCAGAGCTACAGCCAGATGAGTCTTTCAGGGGTCATAATCATAGCCAGCATTTGTATATGCTTGTTGGATGCCAGAAATTGTTCTAAACACTTTATTATATTAACATATTCTATCATTATCCCAGTTCACAAATGAGAAAATGGAGGCACACCGAAGCTAAAAGTCCAAAGTCACAGTTAGTAAGTGGCAAAGCCAGTTTCAAAACCAGGAAATCCACCTCCAACATTACTGTGCTATCCTGACACTCGTGGCCCGCTCCCTCAATATCTCATTAAAAAAAAAGAAAGAAAGGAAGAAATTAAACCAAAAGATAATTGCAGGGGATTTCAACTCAATTTTGATTTTTCCCATGCTTAGATGATTTATTTAATGTAAATTTTATTTTAATATCAATTTTTATATTTGTGTCTCCATTTTCATGACCCTGTCTCCTGATGTCTTAACTGGATGTTTAATCTGCCTGCTGGATATCCAACACTAGCCCATCCTAGCTTTTGGCAGCTTGGAGAGTCAGGTGAAGGTTAATTTTCCTTAGAATCTAAGTTCACCATAAGCAATCCTTTCCATACTCCTGGAAAACCAAGGGACTACCTTGTTGTTAATGCTTAGAGCTGGATGTTATCACTAACATATTAACAGATAATCAAGGTGTTTGCCACATTATAAATCTTTAGAGTGCAGACACCCTGTTTAATTCAACTTTACATCCCCTGCATTTAACATAGTGCTGGTACAGACCTATTTAAAATATATAGTCAACTTCGTTTATTCAACGAGTGAAAAATAAATGATTTGAGATCCTTTCAGGCATCTTTGCAGTTCAAAAGGAGTGGCAGAGAGCAAGAGAAAACTTTTGGAAAGAAAAAGCCCTGCAGACGCTCACCCACCCCCCAGACCCCCTGCAGCCGGCGCACCTCCACTCCCGGACTCCCGCCCTCCCTCGGCCTCCGCGGCTGCAGCGCCTCGCACTTCTGACTTGAGTCCCCGCCTCGCTCGTCTTCGCCGCCGGGATCCTCCGCTCCGCGCCATGGGGCCGGCCACGGGCAGCGAGCACCGCATCCTCCCCGGTACCCGCGGTCCCGCCTCCACCAGGGGCCACGCACCCCTGACAGCCGTCCCCAGCCGGGCCGGCTGGGCTCCCCTGCGCGCGAGCCACACAACCCGAGCAGAAGCGGCAGCTGAGGATCAGCGAGGGCGGCCAGATCGGAGTCGGGGTGGAGGATCGAGGCTTACTAGAAAGCAGCACTCGACCAAGATCTCACAAAGCCCAAAACCACAGAAAGGCATTGTGGGTCTCCTGGTTCTCATTACTGTCACACTGCTCCTGGCGGGGGCTGCCTTCAGTGCTTTAAGCTGAGCATCCTCTGAAGAAATGCTGCAGTCTCTTTTGTGTTTGGAGATGAGAGTGATGGATACACAGGATTGGGGGGCACCTCTCTTCTCAGAACTGGCAAGACTCACATTTTAAATAGTGTGTCCATTGCAAATAAAGACAATTGCCCTTCACTGCCAAGAAAAAAAAGAAGAAAGAAAGAAAAAAAGAAAAAGCCCTGCAGGCCAGCCTTTTATCCTGCCAATCTTCTCTGCTGCCAGTGGAATCATTTCCCGGGGCTTCATAACCACAGTGGTGTTTTCAGGAGTTGGCCTTAAGGCCACCCCTTCACGTCTCTCCCTGGCATCCTATAAGGGCATGAATAGCGAGGCCTTCACAGGGCCTGAGACACAAAGTTACCTTAAGAGATTCTTCCCCAACTTAAGA